ACTTTCATTTTCAGAACCTGTGTTGTATGAAAAATGGCGATCTACTTTACCCAAAGTGGATCAACATTGGGTTTCGAAGGCATTTTTTGGGTTGAATGCCAACAACAAGGTCGAGTTTCGATTGGACAAAGTCTGCCAGCTCTGGAATCATCCTCCATAGCCAAGCCTGTCTGGGAACACGAGGAACCGAGCTGATAGGTTCTTTGCCCACAGACTTTTCTTGTGGATGCCAGTCAACATCTGGGGTGTCCAGTTGCGCTGCCCTCATTTGGATGCAGACAACACCTGCAATGGCATCCTAACAAGAGCTGGGATGCATCAAAAGACCAGACTTGTAGTTGATTTTGACTGTTTCTACAACATGGCTTCTGAATACCTGCGATGCTCCAAATGTGGCAAGAAGGTAAGTGTAGATTTGTTACAAAATTCAGACATGTCTGAAAAGTTGAATTAATGGTAATTTGAAAGTTTGATAGATTTTATGTATTCTGTTGAACTACCTTTAACACTTGTACTGATCACTCATGCTGTTGCGAGGGTGTTGAGGACCATAAAACAAAAACGACAAAGATTTACGCTTGTGTTCATCTCCATAAAATTTTGGTTTGAAATTTGATTCTTTTAAGATACATTTCAGAATATTTGTGTTTTCTTACAGGTGGTTGCCTGGGCACACAGCCTAATTGCTCAACTGGACAGAGACAGGCAGTTGTTGTTTCCTGCAATCCTGACTGCTAGGTATTCTTGTGATAAGAAGGTGGTGACTTTGTTACGTCAGAGAGGGCTTGGAAACAGCAGCAGTATGGTGCGAAGACAGCTGGAGGAATTACATGGTGACATGTACCTTCGAAAGGTCCATAACTACCTGTCAGCATGTAAAACTTTCATGGCTGCCAGTTCTTCGAGGCTGGTGACTTCTGGTGTCATGGAAGATCCTCCACTTCAAGCTAGCTCCAGTGCCACAACACAGATGGCTGATGAAGGTCTACCAGCTAGATGTTCTCCAGCGCCTGGATTTCGTCAAGGCCTCCATCTTGTCTCTGTTTGGTAGTATCATCAAACTCGATTCTACCAAGAAAATCACCAAAAAGTTGGCAGGTATGTAATGGACAGAAATTTAGCCTTGTGTCCTAAGGTTCCTTAATTATTTTGTTTAGTATGTAGCTGAATTTTTTTATCCATTATTAGAAACTGGGGAAAAAGGAAAAAATTAATATTATGACCATTGCAGTATTTGTCATACTTATGCATTTTTGAAAATGTCATGCTAAATTGTGTGAATAGAAAAGTTACTTGTATTTTTTTTACATCGTTTTTCCCTGGCTGCTTTGCCTGGTTTACAAGTCCATATGTTTCTGAATTACAGGAAAGAGTGCAAAGACGGCGATGTGGGCAACCAACGTTGGTAACGAGCATGGTCAAGTTATCATGTCTGTCCTGACAGCCAATGAAGGACAGGGTCTTGCCACAATGATTTCAGGACTATGCCAGCGTTACCTGGATGCCCAAGTATCTCCACCACGTCTGCTGTATGTCGACAGAGATTGTTGTGACAGCAGTTGTGTGAGGAAGTACTTCACGCACTGGCCAAATCTTCTAGTGAGGTAAGCTTTTTGTGGATACAGTAACTGACAACAGAATTCTGTGCAAATACCATAATAACTTAAGTTCGTTAAGTTTTAAATCCAAAATCTGAATTTACAGGAACCTCAACAAAAAAGTAATTGTCTACAATGCAATATGTTCTGACAATGAATTATAAAAAATAGTAGTGATGCATTTAAAAGTGAAAGAATTTGGTATGTTTTGAAATATATTATGATAATAACAGCTCCTGACTGAAAATAGTTGCCTGTAAGTTTCAGCGAAAGTGACTTATGTTTTATTTTGTTCAATAGGTTGGATATCTGGCACTTCATGCGGAGACTGTCTGTTGGCTGCACAACGGATGCTTATCCATTGTATGGGACATTTATGAGTCGTCTCAGCCATTGCATATTTAGATGGGAGGAGGAAGACGTTACTCTTCTGAAGAAGGCAAAGAGAGCAGAGATGATTCAGCATCATGTTCCGAATCCATCGGATGCAGACGTTGTCCGCCAAATCAAGTCAGATGAGTTGGCTTTACACTGTCGTCGAGTGACCAGAGGCACGAGAGAAACTTCTTCTCTCATTAGTGATCTGATTTTCTCCATGGATGGTGAAAAGGGGCTGGACATTCTTGGGGTGCCATTGTTCGACAGTGTAAAGATGCAGGGGATTTGGGCAAAGCAGTCACAGCATGTTGCCTGCCTCCAGGATCCTGATGGTGTTCAGCTGTATACCAAAGTTGGCACTCTTAGGAAAGGTGGTGTGATGCTGCCCAAGTACCGATGTGCTAGAGGTTCAACCTCACTGGAGAGTTTCCATCTTCACATGAACAGGTTTATTCCAGGTACAATTCCTTAACATTCTCCTCAAAAGATAAATTCTAAGAAGCATGAACATACCCTAAATATGTTCCAGCTATAGAGATTAATTGTTCAATGCCTTAAATTAAAACATTTAACGGTAATCTTCTCAGAATGCCCGATTGCTTTTATATGATTTCACTGACTGTAAAGAGTCTACAAGGAGGGCAGTTTTGCATAAAATTGATTACTTTTTTTATCATAACGTTATTATTTTACTTGACAAACTTTCCATTGAAAAGTATGTATTGCTGGTAACAGTGGTGAAAAAAGAAATTATTTTGATTGAAATGGATTTACCCTCCATTTTAAGAACTGTAACTGAATTTATTTTGATATTCTGTTCTAGGTACTCTTGCTGGCGACGTAAACGTACAGGTCTACTTGTTAGATGGTATCCATCGCTGGAATCAGGACAGACAGAGAGAGGCAACAACACACCAAGATTCACAGGGGCCTCTTTCATACGATGGAAGTTTACGGCATTCTGTCAACAAACTGTCGCAAGAAATCCTGAAGAAAGACATCTGTTCAGACTTTACAGTCCCTGGGAAGTACACAGGTAAACCTGACACATCAGATAACTCATTTCTTCTCTAGCCTTTTCGGGAAATTTATTAACTTGTTTTTTTTTTTTTTTTTCTCTCAATAAACACAATATTTTCATGAAATGAAGACTCATTATCAGTAATGATGAATACCTTTTGCAGTGAGTAATGAAATGTACTGGTGTTGATGAATGTGTACTTACAGTTTATAAAGATACTATGATTGTATTTTCTTGTTACTTAATGCCCAAATCAACATTTTACCATATCATTTCTTACAATTTTTCAGGCGAGCTCATTGGCTTGGAATATCTATATTCCCAGTCAACTGGTGCCACTGTGCAGTACCAGGAAACTGCCAGAGTCATCGAAGAGGATTCTGTGCAAGAAGAGGACACTGAGCACGAGGATGACGAAGGGTTTGAGGAGCAGTTGGCCTTTGAAGATCTCACAATCCCTTCATTACAGCCAGCATTGCCTCAAACTCCGACGCCTGCCAGGTCTCTCTTGCAAATCCCAACAAATGCTGAATACAGACAGCTAGTTAAAGGTTAGTGTTTAACTTTAATGGAAATAGGATTCGTGTGTTACTTCCATTTTGCTCTGTAGGTATATCAAAGAATATTTTGTTTGCATTTGATAAAGGCATAGGACAGAGTCAGATTAATGATGAAAAGCAACAAAAATCATTATAAAGTGTAAAAACCCTCCAGTTATTTCCTTGAGATTTCAACAAGCTATTAAAGACTTAGGAGGAAATTCTCATCACATTTATGTAAGTGTTTGATTTTGTGCAATTCCAGATTTGCAGCATTCCGACATTCAGACAGAGTTGTCTCCTGCCACTAGTGGACAGTTAGAGCCTCGTCTGGAGTCTTCTGGTGTTACCGGTGAACAGTATGAGCCTCATTCAGAGTCGTCTCCTGTCACCAGTGGGCAGCCACGGACACATTCCCAGACATCTGCTGCGTCAAATCTCCCAGATGATGTTAGTACTAAATAAGTTGCGTATTGAAGTGAAAAACATATTTTAACTTCCCCTTTGGCTCTAGCAGTTCTCTCTTTTTTCGTGAATGGCATTCATATGTTTAAAAGGATAAACTTTATGTCCAGTACACGTTATTAGTAAAATTTATGCCCTCTAACTCGGCTTTGCATATGTTTATTGTAAATATATTTTTGTTTTAAAAAGAAATTTAAGCATATGTTAACATATATTTATTTTTACAGAGTGACTTGGATCCTGATAACATACCTGGCTACTCTCATGTCACCAACTTAGCCTCTTTCTTGGTGACCCTTAGAGAGCAAGCAACTGGTCTGAGTACGGAACAAGCACTCAGTGTTATCAAGCTGTGGGAATCTTTGTCGGACTTTGACAAATCAAGGACACGCTTTCCACAGAGGTTCTCATCAGCTGGGTCAGGTCGCTTCAGGAGCCCAAAGAAAAATGTGGCACTTGGAGTTACCAGCATCGAAAGGTAATTTCCAATATATGTCTATATCTTTACAAAAAATGACTTGAAAACTCTACTTATATACTAACTAAATTGAATAATATGATAAGAAATGTAACCTTATCCTAAAACCATGAAACATGAACTCGCCTGAGATAATGTAAGAAGTGTTGTAGTTGACTTTTGTAATGATTGATCAACACCCATAAAGAAAGAAAGAAAGTGTGATGGGTGTCAAAAAATATATGAAATCCAAGTATTTGAATATTGAAGTATAGTTGCATATGGAATATAAAGTACAAATAATTTGGATTAATCACTCGCTGACTGTAGATATATTTACTCTAATATATTGATAAGCATGTCCATTAATCTGTGCATCTTTATTTCTAGAGCTGTCCTGGGGCCAAATTCCACTCGATCGAATTGGCCAAATTGTAACAGATATGTGGAGGCCACAGTTGAAAAACTGCTGCAGTGTTATCCTAGTGATAAACGCTGCAAGAAGACTAAGACCTTTCAGTCCAGATGGACTTTGATCCTTGTTATGTCCAGTGGAAGGGTCCCTAGTAATACAGACATTCAACTGCCAAGTCTTAACCAGAAAACCATCCAACAGTGGTAAGTTGAATTAACCATACCTATCAATGAAAGTATTTGAATGGAAGATTGTCACTTGATATTTTATTTACTTCAATAAAATCATCTGGCTTGCATCACGATAAGAATACTCTATACATCAGAAGAATAATTGTAAGCCATACATTCAATGTAAAGATTTTTCGGAAAAGTTTGTTTACTCATTGAAATTCTAGATTATTCATTCAATGCAAGAACTGAAAAACAACAACTATTCTGTTATAGGTACAACAAGAAGGGGAAAGAGAAGGATCTCAAGATCCTGCTGCAAGGTATTCAGCTGCCAAAGGCTTCCCTGACAGGAAAAGGTGCGCCGGCACCAAGGTCGAAGCCAGAAACCTTACAGTTAGGACAGACTTCCCCTTTCCAGTTTGTATGTCCTCCAGATACTGCTGGCATGGCTAAATTGAAGATCAGAGCTTCAATGCCACCACCAAGACAAGTTCTGCATAGACCAATCCTACCCATGCCATCTTCAGCTGCACCTGGGCCTGTACAGTTGCGAGTTATACTGACACCACCAGTGATAACTCCACCGACTATGCCGATGATAGTACCAACTGTACAAGCAGGACAGAAAAGACCAAGTGTAACAGATGATGCGGTAAAACCCAAATATACCAGACAGGCAACATCTGTTAAATGTCCAAAGTGTGGCGATGACAGAACTCCTCCCATTCATCGGCAGTATATGGGATACAAGTTCTGCGGTAGGACAGAAGCTGCATCTTTTGACAAATGGAGGGCAGAGTTAAAAGAGAGAGGAGTGGCAAGGAAAAGAAAGGCTGCTGGAAGGGGAACCGAATGATATAAAGTACTGCTTGTATGGCTGTCTACTGCCACCTGTGGACAGCGAGCATGAGGTTGGGCTGTAATAGTACTGTTTGAAGAACATCAGACATATCAACCTCTGGTGAAGATCAGAGGTGTGTTGTTTGATTTCTACAAGGACTAGATCTGTGTTTCTTGGGGAGCTGAGATCACAAGTCATCCTGTACTGTTGTGTACTTAGTCAAGGCACTTTAACCCAATTGCTTTTGATAACATGCAGAATTTTCAGGGGACCATGATAACAGTGTATAGAACATCAGATTATCAACCTCTGGTGAAGATCAGAGGTGTGTGGTTTGATTTCTACAAGGACTAGATTTGTGTTTCTTGGGGAGCTGAGATCACAGATCATCCTGTACTGTTGTGGTTGTGTACTTAGTCAAGGCACTTTAACCCAATTGCTTTTGATGACATGCAGAATTTTCAGGGGACCATGATAACAGTGTATAGAACATCAGATTATCAACCTCTGGTGAAGATCAGAGGTGTGTGGTTTGATTTCTACAAGGACTAGATTTGTGTTTCTTGGGGAGCTGAGATCACAGATCATCCTGTACTGTTGTGGTTGTGTACTTAGTCAAGGCACTTTAACCCAATTGCTTTTGATAACATGCAGAATTTTCAGGGGACCATGATAACAGTGTATAGAACATCAGATTATCAACCTCTGGTGAAGATCAGAGGTGTGTGGTTTGATTTCTACAAGGACTAGATTTGTGTTTCTTGGGGAGCTGAGATCACAGATCATCCTGTACTGTTGTGTACTTAGTCAAGGCACTTTACCCCACTTGCTTAGGATATCATTCAGTGACCTGACCAGACAGATCTATCTCCAGCAGCACATGGACAGTTCCAGCCTCATCTAGAGCCGTCTCCTGCCATTAGTGGACAGTCTGAGCCTCATCTAGAGCCGTCTCCTGCCACCCGAAAATCACTTGGAGTTGTCTCCTGCCACTGTGATCAATCTTATCCACAAATCACCTTGATGATGTAAGTTCTTGATAAGTATTAGTGTGAAAACCAATTTCACCTTTCTCTTGATGTTTAACAGTTCTTTTTTCATGATAGTCATTCATACCTATAACGGCACAAACTTGTAGCTTTGATTAAATTTTAATTGTATACCTTGTAGTGCTTGCAGTGGACAGTTTGAGCCTCTTTTTGAGCCATCTCCAGCCACCGGATGAACTTGATGAACCAAGCTAGAAATTGAAGGGTTGCAAGGTTGAAAACTTTGGAGAAGGAAATGGTAGCAAGGTATCATCATAAAATTTTTTAATGCTGCCTACTATATTACAAAATTTGCATATATTTGTCATATAGTAGAAGGTTCCAAGCCCTTGTAAAAGCAGAGGAGAATTTTTTATGGTTTTTGGAGTGATTGTCAGTTTCACTAACAAATGATGTTATTCTGTCATGGGACTTAGCCACAAACTTTCAACCATAACAGTTTTAAATACCAGGCTCTGCAAAGAAAAGAGGACTTCTGTAGTTCAACTGGAAAGAACACTTTCCTTTCTTGGAAAGGGGTCGGAATTCAAACCTCAGTGGAAGTAATATATATTTGCGGTTCTGGAACATTTGTAACTGTCTATTTCATTATCAATTAAAAGTTAGATTAACCATTTTTATAGTTATGTTGAATTGAGATTTTTTAAAAGAGCAAAACTAAGCACATTCTTTACTCTCCTTTATTTAATGTAAGAACTGTTAAATTCCATCTTGCTTCAGTCATTTCATTCATTTTCCTCTTTTTATTAACATCATTTTCTTTCCTTTCATTCTCATTTTTTTTTCTTTTTGTCTTGTTAGTGCTGTAGACCTATGTGCTATATCCTTTATTTTATGTAATAATTGTTAAATTCCTTCTTATTTCAGTAATTTCCATCATTTTTCCTTTTTTTATTAACCTCTTTTCCTTTCCTTTACTTCTCATTATTTTTTTTCTGGTTAGCGCTGGAGACTTATGAGCTATATCCTTAGCGGATAGCGCGCTGGACTTCTAATCCAGAGGCCGGGTTCGAACCCCGCCGGGGATGTCTTTTTTTTTTTTATTTTTCCAGATGATAAAATTTGACAAAATTTATCATCACTGTAGGTGATTTTTTTAAGCAATCAAAGCATAACAAATATTCAAAATAAAAACTTTTTTGTCAGATAAAAAGTAAAAACAATTTTAAAAAATTATCTTTTTTCATCTAATATAAACGAGGAAGGTCTATATTACTTTCATCAATCGGTAATCTGAACGGAAGAGAGGAAAATACGAAGCATTGCTGATGGAATGCAGGGAAAAAGAATGGCAGACTTGGAGCTACCCGGTCGAGGTGGGATGCAAGGGCTTCCCCGCACAGTCTGTGTGGAGAATGCTAGCTGCATGGGGAGTGTTGGGCAGGACCAAGAGATCAGCAGTGCAGATGATGGCCAAGGCAAGCAGAGAGATCTTCATGTTGGGTGTGGATGAAGAAAGACTCAAGTAGGTGGACACCCACCTCCGACCCGCAGTGACTGATCATCACTGTGGACCCCCCATCCTGAGAGTGTACTGAGCTAGGGGTCGAAACACACAATCAGGGATGACTTCGACTGAGACGTCGGCGGTGGAGCAGTAGAAACATCTTAGCTGTATTTAGATAACTGAAGTTAGGTTACTTAGTTCATTATTTCGTTTTCGTTTATTCTTTTCTTTTTATATTCAAAATGTTTTAAAATTATTGCAACATACTATGAAGTCAAATGAACGGGTACATCAAATATATATATATGTATATGAAAAGTAATCTACAGTGATGATAAATTTTGTCAAATTCTGTCATCTGGAATCAAACGCGAAAAAGAACACATCCCCGGCGGGATTCGAACCCGCGGCCTCTGGATTAGAAGTCCAGCGCGCTCTCCGCTGCGCTACGGGGACTGTTGTTATTTTTTGAAAATGTGTTCAGATCGCTGATGAATAATTCATTAGTATACATGAGCAATATCGAAATGATATATAAATTTACACGCAATCACATATCTCCACATGATTTTAAATTAATGTTTGATATGCAACGAAAACGTTGTCAGTCAATCTTAATCTTCTAAAGGAGAGAAATTAAAACGAGAATAACTAGATATTGCCATAAAAAAAATCATCAATAGTAAGAGATCAAAGCACTGAGTGTACTGTTTTCCAAAATAATGCTGTATAACGTTAATTTTGAACTTTACTGAAAAAAACAGAAGTTGAATTTTTGGAAAACAATACTTATTGTTATCAATAGTAAGTGTCCACAGGACCACATGAGGATTTTAAAGAAATTTCACAATTGTTTACCTCTAAAAATATCAAATTGAATTCTCAGGAATTTTTTTACATGATTGACACATGTGAGCTTGAAAGTGGGTAAAGGTCATTTATATCCAAAACATACATATTTCTTCTTTTTTAAAGAAAAATTGATTTTGGCTACACAATACATTTAATTTCAAAGATTTGTTTCAATCAGAAACATGCATAATTCACAATCTGTCTGTCAACTTGGGTATTTGTAATGACAACCTCCATTGTGTTTCGATAACAATGTGCTCATGTCAGCTGTTTATATGAGAGTGTTTGTGTTTGATAATTTCTGTCGTAGTAAAATTATAATTCTTCTCACAGATGACCATAATGATACAAATTCCTATACTGGCATTGAAGGTAAACCGTCTCTCCAGTGTTGACTGATTGACCCTATAATTCTGAAACTTATCTCTAGAGATGCTGAATTGACACTTGAATTTACAGTAACTTCAGTCTGATCTAACATAATTTCTATGACCTTATCAAATTTAATTTGGAATCTCACTAAACACTAGACATGTTTTTGTGCATGTATATATCAGGTAAAATCAAATGTATAAGGTTGCTGGACATTCTATGAGGTTTTCTTCTGTACAGCCAAAATTGATTTTCTGTCATCAATGCAACACCTGATGCCTCCATCTTCTCCTTCCTCTCCTACTTAATCTTTGTTTCCTGTCACGTCTCCTTAGCCAACTGTCCTATTACAGTGTACCTTTAGTGAGAACACTGAACAAAAAGACACTCGCTATATATCACGACACTCAATCTGCTCTCTTTTTCCCTTCAGCCATAGCATCCGTCCAATACATGACATTGACTGCTAAGTTAACTCTGAATAAACTTTTCCAAACTGACATACTACAAGTGATACTGCTGTCAACAAAACTTTGATACCTCCCCTCCAAACACAGGATTTTTCCCCGTAAATGTTGACAATGTTGATCACCTTCTGCATTCTGACTGTAACACTCTGCTTCATGTCGAAGTCTTTGCAAATCATTGACAGGTATATTGGCGTTACAGCGTGGACATATCCAGTACTTCACCATGGTGTCTAAATTACGCTGAATCAACCTAAACACAAGTGAATACTCTCACTGGAGTGGTATGTGATTTATTCTTAATCCACCTAAACACAAGACAATACTATTAATGAATTGGTGCCTAACTTGCTCTGAATCCACCTAAACACGAGAGAATACTCCCATTGGAGTGGTGTCTGTATAGTTATGGATCATTCATAATCACTTCAGAATCCAATAGATATGGGCAACATCAAAATAAAAAACAAGACGACTAGCAGCCTTGACGATCACCAGAGATAAGCAATATTGAATATAAAGGTAGAAGGGGAATTATCAAGTGTCATGAAACAGAAATTGTGACACTGAATATAGTAAGCCAGTGTCAATACAAACATACTATCAAAACTGTCGTCCTATACTAATAAGTTTTACCAGTGGGAATTAACCAACGTTATGCTAAACCCCTTTGTGGCCTGCCCATCAGCCGCTGGAAATCAGTCAGGATCAATATATTCTCAATCTAGTTTTCCTATAGAAACTAAAGTAAACTTTACTATCATCCCTACGGGGAAATGCGAAACCCAGGAACCATGGAATTCACAATTTTGGTAAAGCACTTCCATC